CCTCCTCCATGTTCCCTGATGTCCTCCTCCTCCATGTTCCCTGATGTCCTCCTCCTCCATCCTCCCTGATGTGCTCCTCCTCCATCCTCCCTGATGTGCTCCTCCTCCATGTTCCCTGATGTCCTCCTCCTCCATCTTCCCTGATGTCCTCATCTTCATCCTCCCTGATGTCCTCCTCCATCTTCCCTGATGTCCTCATCTTCATCCTCCCTGATGTCCTCATCTTCATCCTCCCTGATGTTCTCCTCTTCCATCTTCCCTGATGTTTTCTTTCTACTTCCCTGATATTCCATTCTACATCTTTCCTTCTACCTTTCTTATTTTTTCTTATCCCTTTTATACCTCCTAACAAAAATTTCTATGTAAGAAAAGATTACCTCATGACCACAAGTTGCATATTTTCCAAAAATAAATTAAAATCTTTGCACAGGAAGAAATTACATGATGATCACAAGTCACATTTTTCTTAGAAGCCTACAAGTAGTTAAACATGTTTCTTTGTATTAATTTTCCACTATAACATCTTCACTCCACATCAATGATTCTTTTAAAATTGATTAGCAAAGTTTTAAGCAAGCCAAATGTTGCAAGCCAAGTATTGCTGGGTCCTAACAGCTCCCTCATGGGAGGGGGTGAGAAAGCTTGGTGTCAATGACACAGACACCGGGAGGCAGGCGAAAGGCCAACAGTAGACTCATTTATTCAGCGATAGGGAAGGCCTTATATACCCTCCTCCCAGCACCCAGGCTGTGTCCTGGCCCAGTGACATTGAGTGGTCACCCCTCATTGGCTGGGCACGATCAGGAACTCTGACAGCGACTGTTGCTAGGCCCTCAGGCAGACTCCAGGTTGGCTCAAAAGGAAGTACATTATGTATGTGCCTTGGCTACTGGTCTGAGCCTTATTTCCTGCAGCCAAGTCTATCTCAGCCAGTTCCTTCTGTACTGGCGTGTAGCTGTTTGCAGTTTCAGTGTAACTGGTTTCTATTTTATTTCTACTCTAGAGAAACTTTAAACGAGTGGTCAGCTAACCATCTATTTTTCTGTACACACAGTAGGGTCATTTAATTTTCTTTCACAACTTTGTTTTTTCAAGGTTCATACCAGGGTCTGTGGTTAATTCTGTAAGTTACATGACCAAGGAACTCAGACCTAACCTTGAGTGTGTGGTCGTAATTGATTTCTTTGATCATCAGCCTGTTTTTCCATGGGCAGAATTCATGAGTCTATAATGCATGAAACTTCCTTGTTCTTATTTTTAACTTCTGCAAATCTCACATATAACAAAGGGGAAGGTAACTTCTAACCTATTTTTGTCTTTTTTTGTATCTCTTATTGGAACAATTGGGAGAATTGTTCCAATAAACCATTTCCCTAATCATCTTTACTGCCCTAACCACCTGTATCTTTTAGGCTAACCAGAAAGTCCAATTAAATCATCAGTCTAACTAATCATCATTGTTCATATAAAAATCATCGTCATTGTGATCTATAAGTAAATTGCCCAGCAAGGAGTGGGATTTCTCATGAAACAATCACACTATACTAGATACAGTGGGATCCTTTCACATAGAAATCACACCTTGCCACATACAGCAGGAACAGGGCAGCAGCAAGCAGGAGGAAGCTCAGCAGAAGCAAGGGGCATTCTGGGAACAATCCTCCCAGGGCTCTGCCTCTCCAGGATGGACCCAGAGCAGCTTTGCTCTCCACTGGGCTGCATTCTGTAAGCTCTGTCGCTGACTGCAGCCCCTCTGACATGGCCACTGCAGCAGTGATCACAGCCCATGCCTAGATCCTCCACATGATCGGCAGGCTTCTGGATGGCTCAGCCATCAACTGCTTTTGTAAACGCAGGAGAAAATACAAACCACAGTGGTCAGAATTGTCCAAGCCCTGACTCTTAGGGATACTTGTTGCAAATAGACAGGAGCGGCTGCTTTGAAACTCCGTACTCGATTCCCAAGTATAATTAAGGGATAAGTGACTAGCTGAAGTGTCGGTGGAGACGGCTTTTGCGTTAGTCACACAGGTGTGTGTCCATCCCCGCCAAATGGAGGAACAGGAATGCTCAGGGATGTTGTGGCACTAACCTGAAGGAAGACCGTTTGTTTCTTCCCTTAGATTTTCTTCTGAGTGCACCAAATGCCTGTGGATTGGAAGCCCAACGGCTTTATTCATATTTAATCTGGCAAGTGTTGAATTGGAAGCTGCTTTACATTTCAAGGGTGAGATCTTGAATTCTTTGATATTAGTCTCTTGTAACTTGTTTTTCATAAAAAAGATAGATGAGGAGTGAAGTTTAGGGTAGAAAGCCCGGCCATTTGAATTTGAGGTTAAGTTTATCAGTAACCACACGTGGCACCTGCTCAGATTGTCACTTACCTCTGGGCTGCAGAATCTGAAGGACATAGCTTTAGTTCTGCTCTTCAGGAACATTCAGCACCTCCATCTTCTGTGGAGCCCCCCCTCCCCCCCTTGTGTGTCAGGACTCTGTAAAACCCTCCTTCAACTGCGCCAGGCTCCTGTGACTCTCTCCTTCCATCTTTGTGTTGGGGCCTATGAGGCTCTCCTTGCCCTCTACATGTCAGGCGGCTGTGTGCATTAGGTGTGTCCCACAGGCTCCCTCCCACAGGCTCTTTCCCTCCCATGTGCATCTGTCAGTCCTGCTAGAAAGTCACTCTAAATACTTGGTCTAGACCACCTGCAGGAGGAGCTGTGGATTCCTGACCAGCTGACTGTGTGAAAAAGAACCTATCTCTTTCCACATTGTATCCCCAACTCTGTACATCTTACAGTCCAAGAGCGCTAATTGTAGGACATATAACTAGCCTGCACAAATGAGGCAGCTACTTATTTCCATTTGTCAACCTCTTAAATATTTATTTTCATGAAAATCAAGAATTTCAGAGCCTGAGTGTCCAAATTGCTGGGTCCTGTGCTGTGATGAGTGAGGCCATGAGCCCTAAGGTGAGTGGTGAACCTTGTGCTGTGGGCAAATCTGTCAAGTGTATTTCTCTGTGCTCTGACGTGTACCTCTTCACTATAATAACAGTCTTGGTGATAGTTCATATGTAAAACTATGACCCATTGCACATGGGTCTCCCCTGTGTGTACATGTGAAACAGAACTGTCAAGGTTGTGTTTGTGGCTGGCGGGACAGGACATATCCACAGCCCTCAGTCCAGCATGTGCTAATCGTTTACGTGCCCCATAGGCATTTTGCATACTTTCATCTATGTTTGGAAATAAGATCGCCATGTTGGAAATCAGCCTGGCTGCTCTGCTGAGCTTTCAGAAGTGCCCTGGTGCTGGAAGGATGCTTTCCGTGCTGGCAAGGTAGAGTCTTTTTGCATATTGCACTGTATGTGGGTGCTTGCCTGTTGGTTGCATTTTAGATCTTTTTCATGTGAAGAAATATAAGTAAACCTTGGAAACTCTCAACCATACTAATGATCTATGAAAGAACTAATTTTTCATGCCATGATTGTATTTTACTCAAACCTAAATGGTTCATAGTTTAACATAAAATGCTAGTTTATTTCAAGTAGAATGTAAATTATAACATAGCACTTTCATTAAAGTATGTCAGTATTTTTCTCATAAAGATAAGGACCTTGGTAGTTTTAATTTCCAAGTATTATAAATCTATATTTGCATGAGTTAATCTTACATTGTCCTTAAAATGTATGTTGCATTGAAACAGGTCCATCCTATCATTGTTTGCTCTCACATGTGGTTGTTTTTATTTTAGCTCCTGTGTCCTGCCAACTTCTCCACTGTATTTTGGAATTATTAAGGAAAACTTTACTAAGCCTGCTAATACCAAAAAACATGGTTAGTGTAACACACTCTGAAACACACACACACACACACACACACACACACACACACACAGATGTCGCCATCTCGCCTCACAGTCAGAACTGCCGAATCACTTTGTGAATTTACATTTGCCAAAAGAGAAATTCAGTGCTGCTTCTTCTGTCTCTCAGATTTATTACACATTATCTTCGGTTGGGAATGTGGGCCACACTTCTCTCCCTGAGTTTGGCATAATTCACAGGAACTCAAGGGCATGCCTCAGTACTGATGTGATTTCTTGGGGGGACTTGGAGTGGTACCTGTGATAGACCCTGGGTAGTTGCACAATATGTTATTGCATCAATCACACTTCAGTGTGTGCTTCTGAAACAGCTAGCCAAAATCACATCCTGTCACAACTAGAAATAATTTCTTGTATTAGCAAGGCCATAACAATATTATTGACTATCTAAAAAATAGATTTTTGATTAGTTCATTGTAAACTATAGCCAAACAGTTCTCTCATATTGATTCTTTCAAAATATATTTTTAAAGTTAACTTCCATGCTAAGATGGCAGAATTCATGGTGCCCCAGTTGTTTATATTGTAGGAATCATGGCTGATTGATGCTCCTTTGTTCCCCTTCATTGACCAATGTAAAGTCAGTCTCATAAAGTCTCTTGACTGACTTAGTTAAGAAGATTAAGCCCCCCCCCCCCCCCAGTCAGAGCCACCGATACATTCTGTACACATACACCACATCTACACGTTTCCTTAGGGCCTTTTACCCTTAGACAACTGGCTCAGCCTCTTCCAGATCTCAGGGCCTGGTTTAGACGAGGCACTAAACCTCCCTTGTGTTTCTAGGGCCATCGTCTGCAGCATCCATTCTGAGGAGTAAGTCATTAGACCCTTGAGTTTGTGAGGCAGGCAGCCCGCCCCTGTGTGCACCATGGTTCTTCTTGGTTGTCCCCTCAGTGGAATCCCTGTCAGGTTGAGTCTCTGTGCTGTGGTCCATTCCTGTGTGTTCTTCCAGCAGGGACCCTGTACTGGACGTAGTCCAGATGCATTACTGTTAGCTGGGCATGGTGCCACATGCCTTTACTCCCAGCACTTGGAAGGTAGAGGCTTTTGAATCTCTGTGAGTTCAAGGCCAGCCTGCTGTACAAAGCAAGGACAGCCAGGACTCTTACACAGAGAAATCCTATCTCAAAAACAAACAAACAAATAAAAAAGAAACAAAAGAAATACACAGCATGACACAAAGTGTGGTTAGTATGGTCTGCATTGTTTTCTTGTACCTTTCACCTCCTTGATGAACATTTGGCTGTTTTTCCTCGGCTTGACTTCGGTATAGAGCCTTTTCATTTCATTAGGTCAGAAGGTCATTTTGTTAGAATTTTCCTGGGTAGGGAGACTGGGTTCTTTCTTTATGGGACAGTGGAATCGTCATGTTAAATGTTTGCTGCTTCTTTTACACCATGTCACAAAGCTGTGAGGAGTGCCGTAGAGGACCGGCCCTTGGTCTTCCATGCTAAAATCAGGTCATCTGGCTATACATCGGCACCGCAGTAAGTTACCAGCCATCGTGTCTCTTGTGTCAGTGGCAGAACTGATCTGGGGTTCAGTGTGAACACTAATGTGAACAGGCGGGCAGGGACCCAAATAGGATTATAATGTGAACTAGACCCCGGAGTACCTCAGTCACCATAAGGGTAGCCGCTGTGCAGTTACTGGTTGTTAAATGCCTATTGGTTGTTGATCTCTGCTCAGCTCCTTGTGTTATTGTCAAATGGTAAGGTTGGTTATGGTGAGTGAGAAGCTGGTGGGGTGGAAAAGTGGAGAAAGGTGGTACATGAAAATGAGGTAGCTCACCACGGCCTGACTAAACACCTTCAACTGTTTTTGAGCCCATTTCCTCTGAAATTGGTGGCCTCTCTCTCTCTCTCTCTCTCTCTCTCTCTCTCTCTCTCTCCCCCCCTCCCCCTCCCTCCCTCTCTCCCTCTCTCCCTCTCTCCCTCTCTCCCTCTCTCCCTCTCTCCCTCTCTCCCTCTCTCCCTCTCTCCCTCTCCCTCTCTCACTCATAAATACAGCTTACTGAGCTCATATGTATGTTTTTAGGGCTGGCTATTGGGATTGTGTAACCCATCAGTGAGTTCATCTTGGACCACAGACCCTGATTAGAACAAATTTGTTGCCATGTCATGGTGTTAAAACTCAGACTGTTTAAAATCTGGAGCAGCAGGTCTAATGGTGAGGTTACTTATAGACCAGAAAACACAAAGTATCAGGGGAGAAACCGCCACAAAGCCTTGAGGTTCCCAGTCCTTCAGGAGTTCCAGATTTCTTAAAGGCAAACTTATTTTTCTGTACAATGTGTAGTCACACTACCCTCTTAAAGTTAGACCTCATGTGTGTCTTTAACACAGTTGTCAAATTTGCCCCAGGGTCAGGAGCCCCATGGGCTCCCTGCACTTAGAGCATGTGACAAGGTGTGGGGGGGTCTCTACCATTTCCCCGATGGTGCGCTCACCTCACCTTCACTCTTGCCCACTCATTCTCACCTTCGTCTTGAGACCCTTGCTCAGGCCTTTGCAAGGCCTCTGACCTTGGCTGTCCTGTGTGTAACGGGCTCTGGTCCCTTCTCACCCCTTTCCTATCTAATGCTTCTTCTTTCCCCAGTGGCAACAATTGTGGATGCTGTTTTACTTGTTGTCTGTTCTGTGCTTGGGGCAGCACTTGTCTCTTTACACTCTCAAATAAGACACTCACGAACAGATGGTAGGTAGATAAAGGAGGGAGAGCTGATGGGTGGAGAGATGGGTGGAAGGAGGAAGACATCACCTGAGGGAAAGAAAGATGAATAGATAGAAGGGTCAGTTAGTCACAGGTGTGTCCCAAATGTGGCCCACTGGCCACGTTAGCTCCAGGATAGCTATGAGTACAGCCAACACTAAACCATAAATCTACTTAAAACAATAAGGGATTTTCATGCGTTGAGTTTATAATTTGATGGCATAGTATAGTTTTGGGTGTGAACTTCATAGATGACAATGTGGCCCAGAGAAGATACCCCTGAATGAATGATGGCAGATGGATGGATTGGAAATTCATGCACTGAAGAACAATGCAGCATTTTAATCTGTGAGGTTAATTAAATATAGATTCTGAGGATCCACATTGGATGATGTAGGAGGCTGGTGGTCCTGATACTGCTCTGGGACTTTGAGCTGAGAAGCATTAGGTAGGGTCACCAAAGAGGAGGTGTGACATCTCTGAGTCAGGGTGAGTGACTGTTTTGGATTCAAGAAGAACAAAAGGCAGCTGAAAAAATTATGTGTTTGTGTATGTTTTCCCTGTAAAATGTAAATATCTTAAGAAACTTAGAATCCTAATTGTTGAGAGTGATATACACCTATGTGTATGTTTTCCTTCCAGTGTAACTATGTTTTCACCAAAGACTAACATCAAGCGTAATAGCAAAAGAACTTCAAAATTCAAGAACAATTACAAATGGTATGTACTTGAATGTATGCATTAAGTAAATTTGAAGCAACTTAGAAACACTTTTAAAATGCTTTCTTGATTTTAAACAGATATATGACTATATATGCATAAATATGAATATAAATATGTCATTGATATGCATCCTTCAAATCAAATATGGTTGTCCCACTTTAGTAAACCTTTGGATATTCTGCTCTTTTTATTATGTTGCTAGTTTTGAAATAGTGAGTTTTTGCTGGAAGAAAAATGCAGTTGTAGGAAAGTATTGTGTGTGTTGGCTGACCACCCCTGAGAAGCATTTCAGGTCTCGGTGGAGACAGAGGGGCAGTTGCAGAGCCAATGTTGCTTCTTAGTGGCCATCACTGGTCTGTTGACCTGGACATGCTGCAAACATAGCCTGAATGTACAGAGTTTGGGGCCTTGGGCTTGCCTCAGGCTGAACTTTACATGATACATGATGAACATATATGATGAAAAAAGAGATTATGGGCTGCCCAACTTAACTAACTCATCTTTACGTACCCCACACCTGCATTTGAACAGTGACTATTTTTACAGGAATGCTTACTGGAACATCGAGTGTTTGTGATTGACCTTGATCAGTTGCACCCATTACTGAGGCTTAGTGTGATGCCTTAACACTATGTACAGTGCTCCTTGATGAGACTGGCCGGCTTTTATCTACTACTCCCAATCTCTATGTCATCACTATTCTATGTCCAGGTCAACTTAAATTTTTTTTTAGTGCTTACACATATGAGTGAGAGCATACGGTATTTGAGGTTCTGCAGCTGGCATATTTTACTTAACATCTTACAGTTCCCATGTCGTTTGCTTCAAATGGCAGAATGTTATTACTTTATGGCTGGATTTCCTTTTTGAATTTATTTTATTTTTACTGATGTGTCTGTGAGTGCTTGTGGGTGTCCACAGAGGCCAGCAGAGGGCGTCAGACCCATGCCATTGAAGTTATGGGCCAATGTGCGCTATTTAATGTGGGCATCAGAGCTGGAGACTGGGTCCTGGAAGAACATCAAGTGTTCCTAACTGCTGAGCTATCTTTCTAGCCCATGTCTGAGTACTTTCTCATGGTGTATATAGACCATATTTATTTCCAGTCACATATTGATGTGCACCTAGGTTGATTCTGTCTCTTAGCTGTAGTGAACAGTGCCCCAGTGAACATGGACAAGCAGGTATCTCTTTGGCAATGATTTTATTTCCTCTGAGTCTATACTCAGGAGTAAGACTGATCATATGGTAGTTTTCATTTTAGTTTTTTGAGGCATCATCATACTGTGTTCCATGGTAGCTGTTCTAATTCACATATCCTCTCACCATGGATTAAGGGTTTCTTTATCTTCACATCCTTAGCAGCATTTATTTATTTTATGTTTTTTGGGTAGTAGTCTTGGGGTAGAGTGACATTGTAACTCACTACCAAGTTGTATTTACCTGTTGTCAGGACACTGAGTTTTTATGTCCTTATTGGTCAGTTGCATTCTGTTGGGAAGAGTATATTCAGAGCATTTCCTATGGGTTTTTGATAATTCTGGGTATGATTTTAACCATGCACATTGACATATTTCTTAAAAATTATTATTGATTTTTCTTTTAGTTTTCCTGTCAATTTCCACTAGTCTCCACATCAGAAGGTGAACATACACCTATAACATGAGGTGTCTGAATCAATAGAGTATTTGGTGTTCCCAGTGATACTGGGCCTCAAGGGTGACCCGAACCCTAGTGTTCTTCATACTACACACAAATACACAAAGATACATGTTTTGAAAATACAGAATACAGATCTGTTTAAAGAGTATGATCCATGATTGTGAAGGCAAGAGTTTATATGGATTTTCAGCTTTAATCATATTAAAGGATATATCTAAGTAGAGGGGAATATACTTAATTTCTAGTTTATTTCTAATCTCCCTTGAACTTCTCTTGGTTTTCACTGTGACTTTCCTTAAAGTAAGGAGTACTCTCTGGAGGATTTCCTACCCCGAAGTCTCAGCAGGCAGGTTGCCGTGGCCCAGGAGTCTGTTGCTGTACACTGTCTGCAGTACTCGGGTAAGCCTGTGCCTGTAGCTGCGTCCTGCCCACCGTCGTGGGGTGAGTCTGTTTTTGAAGACACTGGCTGTGTTGGTCAGGGCTTTCTAGAGGAATAGACCTGACAGAATGAAAATATGTATGGGATCTGAGTCTCTTACAGACTGTAGTCCAGCTAGTAGAACAATGTCTATTTCCCGACAGAAAGGCCAGGAATCCAGGAGTTGTTCAGTCCACGAATGAGGATGTCTCAGCTGGTCTTCAGGCTGTGTTGGAATCCAGAAGAAGTAGGCTCTAATACCAGTGAAGGAATGCCTCAGCATCAGGATAGATGAACTTGGCAGCAACAGTGAAGGGCAAGCAGGCAAAGAGCAAGAGCTTCCTTCTTCATATTGTTTTGTGCAGGTTGCCACCAGGTGTGACCTAGATTTAGGGTGGATCTTCTGACCTCAACTGATCCATATTTAGAATGGGTCTTCCTACTTCAAATGATGCAATCAAGAAACTGCCCCCCCCCCCAGGGGTGTGCCCAGTTGCTTGGGTTTTAGTTGATTCCAGGTGTGGTCAAGTTGACAATCAAATAAGTCAAATGGCCCAGACACAGCTGCTCTCTGGGGTTCTGATGAGGGGTTGGTTCAAGGCCTGACAAACCCTTGGGAGCCTTGTATATGTTGTTTCAGATTCTTCACTACCTGATAAATGACTATTTATCTTAATGTTCTCCACTTTAACTGTCAGTTGATCAGTGGGATTCCCATGTTATTATTTTATTGAGCTGTTGATTCCAAACCTAAGCATG